CACCTATATACACATATACACGCAAGCAGCGCGTTAGAAGTTATCACATATAACCTGGCATCTCTCAACAAATTGACATTGTACCGTTAGGCGAATTTACTTTTGCTTTTTTCCTCTCCATCCCCCCCCCGAAGAAAAAAAAAAATGACTACCGATAATTGGAGCAGGCTCCATATGTACCATATTGATGATATAGGAGACTTAACCCAAGGGGAAACGAAGAACAGAGGAGTTCCTCAGATCAGATCAGCTGAATTCCGTGGGAGTGAAGAGGCGTTTGGCCACACAGACGCGAGGGTGTATCAGGGTAAGATCAATGAAGGCACTCAAAAGGCAGAGGTTGCAGTTGACGTGAAAAACCCAAATAGGAAAGAAAACACAAGGGTTCTACGAACCAATAATGGAGGGAAAAAGAAAGAAGTCTTTCAAATGTACACACTGAGTGACCAACCCAAGTCAAAATGTTTATCTCCCAAACTTCAGTACAGAGAAGGTGTAGTTGCAAATCTGGTGAAACGTGAAAATGTAATTCATTGTGATATTGCCGCTCTCCGTGTAAATTCGACGCATCAGAGAATTGGCCATAATGACCAACTGTACACACTAACGAACGAAGAGTTGAAGCTTTTGCTAAGAAGAAGTCCACCATGGGGGATGCAAATTACTAGAGAGTGGCACAACAGCCAGTCAGATGGTACCTTTTGCGAGGCTGGGTCGAAAGAAATATGCCCTTTAAAAGGTGTAACCCGTTTGGGGCCCATTCATGGATGTAATGGATCCTTCCATGTGCCACTTCCGCATGAGGAGGAGGGGAAGAAGAAGGAGAAGAAGAAAGAAAAGAAGAAATTGTCCTTAAAGGGAAATTCAGATGGAATCCCCTCGTACACATCACATGCAGATGAAGGTGTTACGCGCGGTAGGCACTTTGAAGAGATGGACGAAGCGGCGCGCCAACAAACACATATGGGGGCAGCACCACCGCATGTTGACTACAAGAACGTGAGCGGAGGAACATTGCATTTTGCCAGTGAAAGGAAGGGAGGAACCAGGGAAAAATACCCATGGGGTGTAAATTGCAAAAGTGTCTACACAGATTGGTCGGAAAAATGGGTACGCCGAAGCAGTCCCATAGTAAGTCATCAGAAATTACTCCAAAATTTCCCCCACGGGACTACAAACCCGTTTAGCTATGAAAATGAAGACGTCACTGAGGAGGAACCCCAAGTGGCATCACCAACCCGCGCAGATGAAGCACAACTTGGCGTGGCGCGGGAAGCACCATCAACAAATAAGCGGCATGGTAATTGTTCATCTATTAAAAATTCACCAAGTGGAGACACCACTGGGGAGGAAAACGGGGAAAATCGAGCGAGCGATAAAAACGGAGCAGCGGGGGAACATCACATTGGGCAGAGCTGTTTGGAGATGCCAACAAATGAGGAACATATCAAAGAATTAGATAACCCATTCGAGGTTTCCAGTGGCACAGTGTTTAGTGCACATGATTCATTTCTGTCATCGAAGGCGCAGGAGAAGCAGTGTTACAATGATGCGAGGGGTGGTTGCATGGTGATTAATTCTTTGGAAGGTCATAAAAATGGGCAGTTGCGCGATTACCCGGGGAATTTGACCGTTTGGAGGAAACAGCAAGTGAAAATGGGAGTGAAAAACAAAGCGAAAGGGGACGCGAAAAGTGAAAAAGAAGGCGACGCAAAAGGGGAAGTGAGAAAAACGGAGGAAAAAAAAATGAGGTGTCAATCTACCCGTAGTGCACTAGAAGTGGAAATTACCCCGGCCCAGTGGAGTGGTGGCGGTGTGAATTGCACGACGGTTTCGGTCGCGAAGAATAGGGCGCGCCCAGTGTGCGTCGCCAGGGTTGGAAGCGGAGAGGGCGGACAAAGCAGAGGAAGCGAAGAAAGCGGGGAAAACGAAGAAAGCGGGGAAAACGAAGAAAGCGAAGGAATTGTACCATTCAGCACATTTGGCGAAGTCAGCGACCAGATTACTGATGTGACGGGCAGAGAACCCGCTCAGGCCAGCAACTGTTGCGGCACCGCATGCGCTACCCCCTCCTGTCGTAGTGATGCGCAAAAAAAGTGTTGCCACGGGGGGAGCCTTGTCGCGCGGGGTGTCGTTTCAATTTGTAGTAAGGACAATCGGTGCAGTGGAAAAATGGGCAATAAAGGGGAAGCTTGCAGGGGGGGCAGGGTTACCAGTGATAGTAGCGACCGCGTTGACCATGATAATGGCAATGACCGCTCCAAGGGCTGCAGCCGCTCTAACCGCTCCAACCGCAGTGGTGACCACCCCCGAAGCAGTCGCGGCAACCCTTTCACAAGCAAATCCCGCTCAAATGTCGAAGAAAATCGGGGGGCACGCCACCCTGAGATAGCTGAAGAATTTTTTTCCCCGGACCTCGGGCGTAGAATTAACAGCAACAGTCCGTTTAACATGCTGGCAAATTGTTCCAACTGGAGGGACTTGCGATATGGAGAAAGTGAAGTGAACCGGTACGATGAAGTGATTCCAAGGTGCAACGAACGCATAGGCTGCATGGCGGATGGCCATGGGGAGAGCAGAGTCCCCCCGGGTAAGCGACGTAATGAAAAGTACACACCGCATTGTGGAGATGACCACAGGGGAGGCAACAGCGGTTATGTTCCTGGGGACGGCCCCAGTCGCGAGCGAGTGAACCTCCCGAGTAATGACGAAGACGTATTAAACAGCTTCGACGTGACGTCCGAGTGCAGCAGCCTCGGGGTGGGGGAGCAGAAGGCCTTCTCAAGCAACGACATCCTAGTGAAGGACATCGAAGAGTTAAAAATGGACAAACTTTTTTTTGAAGAAATTTACACATACAGGATAAAGGAAAGGAGCGACGAGAGTGCAGCGAGTGCAGCCATTCCAAGCGGCCCTATCAGTGGTGGCAGCTGCATCGGTGATGTGAGCGCCTCCGGGACGAACCCTTTCGGGCGGCGCCTCGGAGAAGGGCCCATAAACCTACTCTGCGACGAAGCCCTGCGGGGGGCAGATTTAAACAAACTGGTGCTAAACAAAAGTTGCTACGAACACATAAATGATGAGGTAAGAAATCTGATGAGGGAAGAAGACGAGTACCAAGTGGAGATGAAGGTTGGGTTGATGTTCCGGAAGTATATTTCCATTGTGATCACTCTGGCCTGCAACTATTTGCTGATTAAGCTGAATGATCAGAATATAATAACATGCATCCCGTATGGAAACATTTTAGACGTGAGCATAGTTAAGAGAAGCAAGAAGAAGGACAGGTATGTATTCAAATTGGTATACATTTTTAAAAAAAAGGATGGCTACGAAAAGAACGTCACTTTGCTGTTCCGATCGAGCAGTATGGAAGTGTTTCAACAGATTAGCAGCAAAGTAGAACCCACTTGGGGAGGGAATCAAGTCAGATGCAAGGAGTATCTAACCATAGAATCGGTTCACTCCTACATGGTAGAGAAGCACAAAAGGGTTTACTTACTCTATTTGAAGCATCTGCTGCAGGTAGTCGATAGGGTGTGCAGAAGGCACGTTTTGAAGCGCGCCTTTATTGAATTGAAGACCAAATGTGATTACGAGAGGGAAATTGAAGAAGGAAGAAAGCAACGTGAAAGGACATTGAAAAACGTGTCAAATAAGTTACAATTCTACTTACGAAAAAAACTACAAAGTTACTTCAACTTTCTAATGATAAAAGGTTACGAAACGAATTTTGTAACCTACCAAGTGAAGACAAATAATTTGCTATTCAATTTGCTAGTGAAAGAGAAAAGTAGCTACCAAGAGATTGTAGATCGACAAAGTCTCCTCCTTCTGTTTCACGTCTTATCCAACTTGTACAAAAGAAAGATGAGTAGCTACTTCCAACTCTTTGTGCATAATAATAGGACCCTAAGTCGGAGGAAGAACGCTGTTTGTTACTCACTCACTCGTGTGAATAGCATTTTGGCCAATTACGAACGAAGGATAAAAGGGTTCGTCTTGTCCAAGTTAAAATTCCACTACGATTATGTAACTAATTTTGTCTTCACCATGTATAAGATGTACCTCCGTCGAATATTCCTCGGTTACATTCGTTTGCGTGATAATCGAATTGGCAAAAAGGTCTCCAATGAGAAGAATGTCTTTCGGGTAGTAATAGTCATTTCTAGGATGATCCATCGTCAGAAGTACTACGCCTTTTTGCAGCTACAAAAATATTTTTTTCATCAAATGGAGAGGAAGAACAAAGTGGCGTGCGACAATTTAATGTATGCCAATAATGAGTTGTGTCAGCACTTGGACAAAGCGACCTTGGAGAAGGGGATCAACAGGGCAGAGTGTTTCTACAAATTTAAGATGAAGGAGCACCTTCTAAAATACTTCTTCCTATTGAGGGGTCCTTATGTAGGAAATATAGTGGAGAGGAGTACCCCCGTCCTGAAACACTGTGGGGTATTTTCCTTCATTTTGAATAAACTCATGCAGAGAAAAATTCACGACTGGCTGTTCCTCTTCGTGTTGAAGTCATATCAAGAAAACAATCGGAATAGGCTCCTGTACGCCACAAACAGTTTGGAAGTGCTGCTAACCAGTAAGGAAAAGTCCAGCGTCATGCACCTGCTCCGGATGAACGAGGCTTATCCTTGTCTCTTTCAATATAGACACTTGACGAAGATCGAAATTTTCACCAAAAGCCTCGATGACTTTGTTACCTTCTGCAATAGGAAGTGGCTCCTCAACTTTATACTGAAACTTCATTTTTTAAAATATCAAGAAAGGATCGTAAAAGTGTACAGATGCATCGACAGTCTGTATAAATTCGTCCGCGTGATCAACAAGAAAATCATCGCACAGATGGAGTCCCCCTTCCAGCTACTCCTCCTGAATGCTCGCGTCAAGAGGGAAAAATTGTTTGCGGAAAAATTGAAGGCCAGCAAGAAGACGCAGCTTAAATTTAAATACTCCAAGGCGACCTCTTCGCCCCTGATCGGCCCCGACCCCCGCAGCCTCTGCAGGCCGTACCCCTACCTGTGTTGCAACTCGGACATATCTCTCGAGCGAGCCTCCATAGCTGGTAAGGCAGAATCGGTTCAAGCGCTGTGAGCGTTTCGAGCTGTGTTCGCGGTGTGAGCTGTGTTAGCCGCTTGAACGAAGAGTGCGAAAGGCAATATTGCGCCTTGGTTTCTCATCCACTTGGCTCTCCTCCAACTGTGAATGGCACCCATTTTGTTTCTCACGTTCCCCACCGAATGCAGATGACAAATATTCGCTCGCCTCCAACGATTATGCGTCCAATATGCTTTCTTACGCCTACGAAGGTAACCATAGTGGTGTCAATTCCTTCACCCGTGGCGCCGCGTGCAGGGTGTTTGAAGTTGGCCTACTAGTCAGCTAACCTGTCAGCCAGTTAGCGTGCCAACCAGTTAACGTGCTAGCCAATTTGGCAGTTACTATGCTAACCTGTTACCCCTCAATATTGGCATACCTCCCCCCCCCCCTGCAGACATGGAAAAGATTAAGCGCAAAATTCACGACTTCAACGCCCGAATGAGCAACGTCAAATTGTAGCACCACAAGGAGAGCGAGAGTAACCCCGTCCGTTCCGCCGTCATCACAGATGCGGTGTAGATTATCTTATCTGTGGGTCCCAGTGGGTGAGACCTGACCCTTGTCAATTCGTTCGATGCGCCGCTGGCCAGTGCCTTTTGTGCCACCCCGTTTGCCATTCTTTGCTGCTATTCATCCTATTGTATACTTCCGTCTAGAGGGTTCGAAGCTGTGGAGGTAGATTCCCTGCAGCTACGCTATCTCTCTCCTTCTGTCTATCTCTCTCTCATTTTT